AAGTTCTGGGGATTATAAGTAGGGCTATCAGCCCAGTTCTAAGTAGTTACTAAGTCCCGCGAACCTCCAAGCGGGGCTCTGAGAGGGCTGTCCTATTGGATCCTACTGGAATACATGATTAGCGCTTTTGAGTATTGAGCGAAGCAACTTGAGATTCTTCATGCAAAGACCGAAGAAACGAATCGAGAGCATAATCTTGCATTGAATACTAGGGTACCCCCAAGAAAATACTTTTTACCTCGTACTATGTAAATTTGAGTTGCGACATACATACATATATATATGTGGGATCTAATCTAGCCATCTCTGTACCAAATCAAAAAATATTAAGAAAATAATTGCATGGTCTTCGTAATTCACAACAACCACGTTGAAGGCGACGACCGCGACCACGTCCCCGACCCCGACTTGACCCCGAACACAACCACAGCCACGGCCCCGAACACAACCACAACCACGACTCCGAACACAACCACAACCACGACCCCAAACACGACCACAACCACAACCACAACCCCGAACAGGACCCCGAACACGACCACCACGACCACAACGATTACGACCACTACGACCAAAAGCACCAAAACCGGCACCGGCACCGGAACCGGCACCGGCACCACTATCAGCACCACCACCACTAGCACATGCACCAGCACATGCACCACCACCAGCACCAGCACCAGCACCAGCACATGCACCAGCACCAGCACCAGCACCAGCACCGGCACCGGCACCGGCACCGGCACCGGCACCGGCACCAGCACCGGCACCGGCACCGGCACCGGCACCAGCACCACCACCACCACCACCGCCGCCGCCGCCGCCGCCGCCACCACCGACACCAGCAATGAGTTTCATGATAGTACAAGTTTCATGATAGTACAAGCATACATAAGAGCATATAAGCTGCTCTTGACCGAAGCGGGACTGGACAAAACAGAAAAACACCAGGTTTGGCTTTGCCACAATGAGTCTAGATGAGAGAAGCTCATGAAAAGCAAAGATGTCATCCTGATATCTTTTGAATGTTCCCCCTACCTTGGTCCTCATGATCCACGTTCCCTACTCAAAGTCTACCTCTTGCTTTTTGCATGCTTTGTTACCACAATCTCTGCGTAGCTGAGTCAAAAGTGATGCTAGACTACAATCACTGTCTAAAAGCGAGGACTAGGGTAGATTTGGGGGGTCCTATAGAACTTATGTGGTTGATTGCTTTCTAAGGGCTATGTAGGGTTTAAGTGTTTGAAAAACTTGGAACTATTTGCAAACCTACCCCTGAGGAAGGGCAAGCGAGCCACCAGACTGGATGTAGCCCACATAAATCCTCAGCTGGGTAGCGTTTTTTGGGTGGTTGAACCTAGTAAGGGTATTTTCCTTATATAAAATACTATACCCCAAAAAGAGGATGTAATCTTACTCTATATTGGGTACCATAGTAGCCCCAAATCAAATACCACTCAGCTGCTCCAGGAGTGCGAACTTTAGGGCTTTTCAATTTTGCAGGAGTGCAACCGGCTGTGTAAGATTGGCTGGAACAGCGCTGCCGACAAAGCTAGGACTTGGGAGTCTCCCAAAACAGTGTTTAGGCCTTAGGGTTTGTACAGAAGCCTCCAGGGAGCACTCATGGTTTGGCTGTTTTCCTGATACCAGGGTCCCGAAGAACTCTTCTGTTGTGAGAAAGCTTGAAAGTGCTGCAGCTAAGGCCGTCCCATTCTTGCTGCTGCTGCTGCTGCATGCCTTGTCTACGAGAAAGCTTTCTTCATAATCTGAACCCAGATCCCGTCGATCTTACTTGGTCTTCTAGGGACGATTGCTAAGGCTTCCTGATCTAAACCAAGGCAATTGTATAGGGCAAAAGCAAAACAAAAAAACTCTGTCAAACGCGGTCAAAACGCCCGACCTGAACTATACAATTTGTATAAACCAAGGCGCTTATCCTTGTCCCACTTGAAGGCATAAGGGTTCTTCGCATCTTTGTGGATGGCCTTGACACTGATCGTCAGCAGAAGCTGGCGCGATCCAGCCGCGAACTTCTTGACCTCGGCAAGTTTAGGGTTTAGGGGTTTAGGGCTTAGGGTTGAGGATTTATGATTTACGGTTTAGGATTCAATCACATAGCTCTTAGTGATATTGTTTTGTTTGGTGTTTTATTGTTACAAATGTTGTCATGCCTTCTATTGATGTTATCATAGCTATTCTTGTTACCTTTACATTACTTGTGTGCTCATTGATAATCTTGTTCTTTTATGTTTGATATTCATGTTACCACTGATATTTTGGTTATCATTACTATCATGACTATCAGTGCTTTTATGCTTGTCAGTATCGTTGCCAATGCTGTTACGATTACCTGTCATGTTTACTAGTGATGCCTTATTCTTGTGTTAGTCACATCTGGTAGTTTCCCAAAGCAGGGAGACCGCAATATAGACCCAAAAATTATCAGGAGTCCTGAAAATGAGGACCCCACAAAAGTGGTACCCATAATTTTAGGAAACCCACATGTCCCAAAGCCCTAGGCCCTGCATCCCATTATACCCTGAGCCTTAAACCCTAAATCCTAAACCTCCATATGGGTGGCTGTTAAAAATTATGGGCCTACGGCACCTAATACATATGGCACCCCAAAAAGGACCATAATTTTGACAGCCACCCATATTGATACCATATTTGTGAAGGTCTCGCAGAAAGACCTGTTGCTGTTGTAGCAGGCGATGGCAGCGGCAGAAGCGGTGGCAATGGTGGCCAACATGGTTTAGGGTTCAGGGTCTAGTGGTTTGGGGTTCAGGATAAGAGCCGCTGTACTTGTAGCAGTAGTAGCAGTCGCCCGGGACTGTGACGGAAGCGTTAACTGCGGCAGTAGCAGTCGAAGAAGGACTAGTAGTAGTAGTAGTAGTCGTCGTCGTCGTCGTCGTCATAGTAGTAGTACAAGTGGTAGTAGTAGTAGTAGTAGTAGTAGGAGTAGTAGTAGTAGCAGTAATAGTAGTAGTAATAAGAATAGTAGTAGTAGCAGCTGCGGCTGCCACCGCTACTGTTACTGCTGCTGCTACTGTTACTGCTACTGCTACGACTGCTACTACTACCCCATAACGGCGACGATGACTTCTACTCCTCCTCCTGCGACTACTATATGACTGCAACTAGCACTGGTCCTAAGACTGAGAGGAAGGGACCAGCAGGAATTTGCGGGCAGATGCCAGGTTAGGAGGAAATTTTTCCAAAACCAACACTGTACAGATAACACGAGTCAGGACTTAGGGTTTAGGGTGTACGGAAGCCCGGATCGAATGGAGAAGAACATCGAGAATGAAATGGAAACTGGGATTATACAGGAGTTTACAAGGATTATGGAACGTAGGGAAGCCTAGCGAATCAACAATATCACTTTGAGGTCTGTTTGAAATCCACTGTACTAATATTCACCTAAGAAATCTAGGACCATGATATTGTTGTTTGTTTGCGCTTCTACATGAGCGATAGTCTAAACTCCTAGTATCCCACTTAGTAGCCCCTATAATACGATTATAGCTCAGATTACCACTCTCATCATCTCCTCTGCGAGCCAGAAAAATTTCCTTGCAAGCTTGTGTGGATAAATCAGTGTTTGTTAATTCGGTCGGCCCTCTCCTCACCAACTAAGTAGCTTGTTGGAGGTGGATCATTTCTTCTCATAAAATACCAGACCCAAAGGGAGGATAGAATCTTAAACCCTAATCCTAAGCCCTCGACCCTAAACCGCGCAACCCAAAGGGAGGATAGAATCTTGCCCTATCCTGGGGACTACTGTCTCCTAAAATGCGATGATACCAAGATGGTGTCAAGCAACGGTGAAGTCGCGGCACAAGCCGTAGATGCAGCCACCACCAGCTACTGCTTGCCAAACTGGCATTCCGCACTTGTACGTCCTGCAGACGGCGCAGAAGTCAGGATTTAGGACCCAAACCCTAAACCCAAACCCCTAATCCCTAAACCCTAAACCCAAAACCCTAATCCCTAAACCCTAAACCTAAACCCAAAACCCTAATCCCTAAACCCTAAACCCTGAAGATGAAGGGTTGAGGGTTTACACTATGACACAACGTCTTAAGCCAAATCTCATCTTCATCTTTGTGCCTCACGTATTTGGTGCTGTGGAATTTAAATTTGGTACATTTTTGAATTTCTCAAATTCTAAAACTCATCATAAAACACAACACCAAGAGAGACACACAGCCGCGTGTTTGCCTCTGGTGACCTACGATCAACTTCACATGTGACCACCAAGGCCTAAGCCCCAAACTTTTGCCTCTTGTCTCGGATGTTCTCCGGGACGAGGTCACCGGTGTGCGTGAAAAGCCGAATGCTCACAGCCTGTAATTGGCGAGCAGTGATTTCAGACATGAGTACAATATAACTTGGGTACTGCCCCCCCAGTAACAGTCTATGTTACGGGTCCTATTAAGGGCTATATATAATCATATTATAACTATTATCCAACTGTTACTGAGGGGGGGGCGGTACCCAAAATATAACCCTGATAATATAACCCTAATATTATCTCAATATAACCCCTATATAACCCTAATAGAATACTTGGAGGGTCAAGGAGACTACGTATGTCGGCTCATCACAGGGATCGCTGGAGCTTATATGGGCTATCAGTACCAGTATATGTACTAAACCCCACACCCTCCAAATAGTGGATCTTCTTCTTTATAGATACTCTAAGACGGTAACCCTAAATCCTAAACCCTAAGCCCTAAACTCTAAACCCTAATCATATTGGTTTTTGGTACTGTACCATCCCGGCTCCAACTACTGTTCACATGACGCTGGACTCGCAGCCTTGTGCTCATCACGGTCGGGTAGAAGAAGCCGATCGTCCGTCAGCACAAGGCTACAGACGAATCCGTTTGCCTGCAAAGAGTCTGGGGAAGCACCTTTTGCTTCAGCTGACAGCAGTCACATGGATGCTATGCTCAGTATCTCAACCAACAGCGCACTTTTCAGCTCCTAGCCGCTCCAGCATCACGCAAACACTGGAGGATCTCAGCGTGACGATTGTCAACCGCTTCGATCTCACGGTGGCGCCGGTCAAAACTCATGGAGGTGGCAATCGACCATGGCGTGCTGCCATTGTTCAAACGGGTGCGTGGATTGGCACGGGCATGTAGCAAACGCTTGAGGATGTCCACATGGCCCTCTGCGACTGCAGCAAGCACGGCCGTGAGGCCATCTGACCCTGACTGATTTACGTTGGCCCTAGCTTCCAGCAACTGGCACACAATGTCATACATTCCCTCATGTGCTGCCATGAGGAGTGGGAACATGCCACGGGAGTTCATCCTCTCCATGTCTGCTCCGGCATCAAGCAAGCAACGAATTACCTCTGGGCGCCCTCCTTCCGGCGCACAGTCGACCGCAAGAAGGAGCGGAGTGTCGTCGTGACTGATGAAGGCCTTTTCTTTGTCAGCACGAGCCTCTATCAAGTAATGAATGATATCCAAATGGCCGTTCAAAATGGCCATAATCAATGGGGTGTGGCCGCGTAGGGTCGCCCTATCCTGAGTTGTGGCTACGAAAACTCAGGCTATCTTATCTTAGTATGGTCTGTAGAAAATAGCAAAGTCCCCACGTTCTATCCAACTTTATTAAAAATTCTTAACACCAACCCAGTAACCAGGTCGGAGTCTGCGCCTGCACCCACGAGCCTGCGAACCACCACCAGCTGTCCATGCTCTGCTGCTACCAGGAGCGGCGTGCTCCCGTTCTCTGCTGTGTGGTTCACATCGGCACCTGCCCTCAAAAGCAGCTCCAGAATGTCCAAGTCGCCCCTCTTGCTGGCTTTCATAATTGCAGTTTCGCCTGCTGTAGTTTTGCAATCAGGGTTTTGGAAGCGTTCCAGCACATCGTGAACTCCTTGGCTGCTGCTAAGGACTTTAAACTAGAGTTACCATATTCTATCTGTATATATATATACTGATTAAGATGCACTCTAAAACATGGTACCTTACTGTCATCCTAAACTCTAAACCTTGAAACCCTAAACCCTAAACAGTAACCGCGACTCTCTTGGTGTCTCCCATCTCGGCAGCACGGAGTAGTTCTGCACTGAAGTCTTCCGTACTCCTGGATTTACGGTTTAGGATTTAGGGTTCAGGGTCAAAACAGCCACAAGAGTTTCAGTTCGTATTTTCCAGTTGACTTGGGTCTAGAGTCTAGGAAGGTTGGGGTTTCGGAAGTTCAGGGTTAGGGTCGAGGGTTTGGTTTAGAATATTTAGATTTTAGGGTTTAGGGTTCAGGGTTTAGGGCTAAATGAACCTGCATCATCAAAATTCGGACATGATGTCAACCCCAGGGCGTCTAACGAATGTGCACGGATTATCTTCTGGGAACGTAGTCTTCCCCAATTTGGGGGTTGGGTTACCAAAACCCCTAACCTTGACCCCAACAACCTAAGGCGACATTCTGATAACCCTGCAATCCAGGAGTTCAAAGCCCTAAACCTTAAACCCTAAACCCTAGACCTCTAACCCTAAACTTCCAAAACCCCAACTTTCCTAGACTCGAAACCCAATTCACTGGAGAATAAAAGTTGAAGCAAAGGTCAAACATCGGTTTATAGGGTTTCGGATTCGAGTCATATATCGTCTTATACGGGGAAAAGAGAATTGGGTAACCCAAACCGCCAAGATTAGGGCACGAGGACTATCCCATGACTATAATCGGATCCCATTTTGGGGGGATCGGGGCTACTAAATCCCTGTAGGCCAAAACCATCCAAAACCCGAAACCCCAACACAACAGTGGCAAAGGCTCTGCTGGAAAGTCACGCGAATCTCTTGGGGCCGCCCAAGACTTTCCTGGTTGCTACGGTGGATTGAAGACATCTTGCATCACCTAGAACAGCTAAAGTACGGTAACTCCCGTTCTTACGGTTCGGATTTCCTGCATCCGCAGTTTGACAGATGGACGGGAGCTGGCTTGGGGGTTCAAGATTACGGTCGTGGATGTACTGTATGAGCACAAACCCCTGGTTTAGCTGCAAGGCCATAACAAGTGGCATAGCAAGCGGCATGAGTTGATGGAGGATATCTGGCACCACCTAGAGCATGTCAGAATCTAGGTTTAATGTTGAGCTGTAGGTTTTAGGGTTGGGGGGTTACTACCCAGATCAAGGAGAACTGAAAACAAAGTAAAAATAAGTCTATATAGGGGCTTATAAGGATTACCGATATAGCAGACTAAATTACAACCAATATCACTCTGGGGTCTGTTTCCAGTGCCCTAAACCAAGTTCATACAAGAATATGATAAGGCCAGGGTAGTTGGTGATACTCATTTAACATTAATGAAACCCTAAACCCCCAGTTTTCATTTTATCTTTCATTTTTCATTTGTATACCCCAAACCTTTGTGTACTAATGCCCCATTAGGAGCTTAGAGTTTAGGAGCCCTGAAATTGTTAGAACGACTTGGAGGCAAAGCCCTGGAATCGGCGCAGAATTAGGGTTTAGGGGTTAGGGTGCAAGTCCGTCTGGGGCTATGCGTTGACACTTCGGGGTCAGATTTGATTAGCGAAACCCATTCCTTTCGCATGGTGACTCTATTGTATTCCTACACATCCTGCCTCATATTGCTGTTACGGATACTGCTGTTGATTCACAAACCCTATATGACCCTAAGCCCTTTTACATAGGGCATGATGCCATTCCAGTATAAACAGGTCACGCAAGATTTTTGATATCAAGCATGCTACCATTACTCTTGCCAGTATTATTCCTACTGAGCGGATGGAGAAACGTGGACGCACTTGATGTACCCCATAGCCTAAGAATTACCGTCTTGCGGGGGTTCCGAAATCCCGTATACATATATATGCCTTGATTACAAGTACTATTGCCGTAACTATTACACTACCATTACTCTTACCCGTACTACTAATTCTTCTTCTTCTACTACTACTACCACTGCTGCTACTGATACAGCCCAGCTTCCCATGAGCACACTTCTGGAATGATCTTGTCTTCAAGTAGCAACTGCTGTCTGAAGGACGAGATGCCAGTCTCAACTTGGATGCGCCTGGCCGCTCTGCTTTTACGAGTAAGAATGAAGGTTATATGTTTACTATTTAAGAGCCTTTCAAACGTGATCATAATAACTTAAACGTACGGTCCCCACACTTGCTTAGTAACCCATGGAAGAAAAATCATAATATTAAGAATGCTCCCCGCTGCTTTGTATGAAGCCAAAAAAGAAACGGTCCAAATAAACTAAGGCCGGTAAGGCTCACTCAAAATTGATATCAGGAATCCTCACACCCTTGGAACACTGGGGCTTACCTTGGACTAATGGGGCCATGATAAAGTTCCATCAGAACTCCCCACACCCCTGGACGAATGGGGCATACCTTGGACGAATGGGGCGATGCTAAAATCAAATCAGAACTCCTCAAACCCGTGGACTAATGGGGCGACTCAAAATTAAACAGAATAAAACCCTATAACAGGTTGCCGCACTAGAACTAAACCATCATCAGTGCTCCATTGCGCGAAAATGCCATTTTTGGAACGTGAGTAAGCCCCAAAATTATGAGGGCAACCAAAATTCGCCCGAAACCCGGGCTTCAACATTCTCAAGCGCACAAAACTACACCGTGGGTAACCTTACCGTTACGTAGTACTAGCAGCAGTAGAAGTGGTCGTCGTCGTCGTCGCCGTTTCGAAGTGGTCGTAGTAGTAGTAGTAGTAGTAGTAATAATAGTCGTAGTAGTAACAGCAGTAGTAAGAGTAGTAGGCGCCCCCCAGGCACTACGTTTTACTCAAAGACGATAGTTTGGGAACGGGGGAGAGGTTGCGGGGTTGTTCCGTGCAAACAACCCTCAATCGGTAAGGAATTCTGAAATGTCGCCGCTGGTGGAGCTTGGACGACCGCAATAAGCGATTGTGCTGGAAGTGGCAGCCTGCAGCCATCAAGAATGTCATAACATTCAAAGATATAACCATGTAGAACCCCTACAAAATGGCCCTTTTAACCCACTGTTGCTAGGTCCGGGCAGCAACCACTAGCGCACGCGAGTGCTAAGCATCACGGAAAGTGATACTAAAAATGTCGCCACTGGTGGACTTTTGACGACGGCAACATACGCAGTTGTGCTGGGAATGGCAGCCGTGCGTTGGCGCCATGATGAAAGTGCTGCGGCAAATCTGCGAACAAGCTCAGTTGTACAAAGAGTGCGTAGATGTTGCGCTCAAATGCGCATCTACGAGAGTACGCAGGTGAAAACCCGGGCATCCGAAATACCAATTTCGGCAGCGTGCATTGCTCCTGCCCGCACCTAGCAACAGTGTCATAATATTCAAAGAGATTGCCAGGTAGAGCCCTTCAAGACGGCCCCTTTAACCCACTGTTGCTAGGTCCAGGCAGCAATCACTACATTAACATAACCACTGTTACTAGCTGCCTCCTCGGGGAATTTATGATCAATTTTGAGCAAAACGTACTGCCTAGGGGGGATGGGGGAGTAGTAGTAGTAGTAGTAGTAGTACTAGTACTAGTACTAGTACTAGTACTAGTACTAACAGTAGTAGTAGTAGTAGTAGTAGTAGTAGTAGCCGTACTTGTTGTTGTTGTGGTATTAGGAAGCACCACGGCTCGAGTAAGTCCACTGCGGACTTGCAGTACTAGATGGCCTGTTGATCGCTACCTATGCAATGCATGGTCCCTGCCTGCATGACCGGAAAACCTAGCTTGACTGCACTTATAGGCCCCTTGCTGAAACACCTGCGCAAAGTCCCTGGACGTAAGTGCGACTTCGAGTATGAGCACATGTTATACATTGCTGAATGGCCTACATGAACAACGGGGGCCTCCGCTGTTCCTTGAACAAGGGGTCGTGCCGACGGAGCTCAGATGCCATGGTTAATATGGCGGTCACAGATGCATGTGCGTTGTTCATGCAACCAAGGGCCACAAATAATGGGCCGACCCAGTCCCAAGTCCGGGACGAGGAGTAGTAAGAGTAGCAGATCTTTCAACCAGAGCAATAGTTGTTTCTCGTGGTGTGAGGGTGGAGGGCCTATCCGCAGGGTCCTCGCGAAGCCACCTGCAAGATATGCCGTGAGCAGTACGAAGGCTGAAGCTTTGCGGAGCAAAGGCTACGGAGGTGCGCGGTCCCATCCAAGTCAGTTGGACAGTACACCCTGTGCGCCTCTCTTGGGCCACACGTTTCCTTGTGCGCCGCTCTCCGGCCACATGTCTTTCCAGACTGGATCTCTAAACTGGTGTTGCCGATTGTTCGGCCACCATGTTTCTGACTGACTGGGATTGCTCTGGATGATTGCGAATGAGTGCTCCATCTTCGGAATGCATGCAGCAGATCGATTCATTCCTGCGTTTTTCTCTGCCTAAATCCGGCGGCGGCAACCAGAAAGCCCCGGCGAGGGCCGCAATGGGACCCGGACCGCTGTCGTTGAATGATGCAGGCTCGCCGTGTTCCAGATCTATGAGGCGATTTGCGCGATGCGATGAGTCACCGTAATAACTGTTTGCCGTGGAGATCTACAGCTGGAGCTCTTAGGAAGCCATGCTTTATTGAGCTGACCATTTAGTGTGAACTAGCTGTACCGTGTATAGTGCAGGGGCCCGCTCTCTTGCAGACAAGCTCTCCAAACAGGTGCCGCCGACATGCCAGCCACCTGGGTGTCCATCTTCGGGAATGTGGCGTCGTCATTCGCTGTGGATTGTTCGATCCTGCTACACATGGCCGTCGCGAACCCGTGACTCGTGCAGGCCTGCACTGCACAAGGTTGAAAAGGCAATTTGCGCGATGCGATGAGTCCTTGTAGCACCTGTGACGTGGAGATCTACAGCTGGAAGT